TTTCACGTCCGAAAAGCGAACATTTGGCAACCTGAAAGCAAACCTTTGGCGAACTCAACGCGTACTGCAGGCGAACATTTGGCGACCCAAGCGGTGTCGGCCCATGACGTACCAAAAGCGAACAATGTTTGCGAAATGTCACATTCGCGCTCTTCGGCGGACCGAAAGCGAACTCCACGACGAACCGTGCGCGAACATCTGGCGTACACTTAAAAAGGTCGCGGCTTGTACGCGTGGAGTTCACCACGACGCACAGAAAACGATCTAAAAGCGAACAAATCTTTTTGCGTCGGGGTACCTCATCAAAGTAGAATCCTACGGCCGAGAATTTCGTCCGTTTGGCTCTATCTTTAACAGTTTAGGCGCCAGAGGTAGTTTTTGATGAAAATAAGCGAAAAAATGTGCAATCCTGCATGCTAAGTCGAAGTGACGGGAAGTTGACGGGCCGAAGGCCCGTATCTTTGTGTACATTTTTGCACTATCCGACTCGGGTGTCAGCGCCGCAGGCCTAGGTAGATGTATGTCAGGCGCGTCGCAGCGTTACAGTGTTTCGTGAGATATCGCGAAGCCTGTTACGCGAGACGTGGTCTGGCGTACATCTACCTAGTTTGTAAAAGTTTCAATGAAGCGAGTTAAAACTTTAAATGAATTGGAGAGACGTATGCAACCCCTAAACGGTGTCCTCCACACGTGTGTCCCCCCGGCACGGACACACCGTGAGCCTAAATGGTCCCTCCAGGCTGGAGGAGATCGCCTGTAGATCAGACGTCACCCCCGCCCCGCCCCGCACAACGCGCATCCCCAGCGATAAATTTCACAGTAGGCGGCGCCTTGTTAGCAAACATGCTGACCTCACCACTCGCTCATTTCAAGCCTATTATAGGCCGGCCCGCGCGCTAACGCCCCTTCCGCAAGCCGAGCCGACCTCTGCACCGCCCGGGCGGCATAGACCTGAAGCCGGCAGCTTATTTACAATCCCTTGGCGATTCAGCACCTTACGGCAAATTCGGATGTACGCAGCCTAGGCAGCGGCCTGCCGGTTTGGAGGACAAACGTTAGGTTGGGTTAGGCTAGGTTAGGTTAGGTTAGGTTAGTTTAGTTTAGGTTGTCTGCGTGGGTACGATCAAAATAGGGCTACAGAGTCCTCAAAGCCGCTGACCGCTGCCTAGGCTGCGTGCATCTGAATTTGCCGTAAGGTGCTGAATCGCCAAGGGATTGTAAATAAGCCACCCGGCACGGGCCAGGTCCCTGGGACCGGTGCAGGACGCACAGGAAGAAAAGGGCGAAGGAGGAAAAGCGTTTACAACAAAAAGATTTCCTTATGGCCAGCACCCCGATGACCTTTAATGAACGGATTAAAAAGTCATCGAGGGAGAATTGCAAAAACTTTCGCCTACCTCTACACGACATACATAAAAAGTAGTGCGTAATAAAGAAAAATACCCCCAAAATACTGCGAAATATCCCAAAATATCCCTGAAATAACTGATAATTTTGTACACGACGTCAAACGTACGACAAAAGGTTCAAAAAAACTGCAATAGTTGAGTAAAGGTTTACAAAACAATTCTAAAACTCAGATCATACATATAGACATGCAAAATATGCAAAACGTCGCATGAAAATGAGCATAAAATAAAAAGGATAATAAAAAGTGAAAAATGTGATAGCAGTGGGTGAAAGGCGCCTGGTGCGGTGCGAGGTGGTGGGCGCCCCGCTTCCCACCAGCTCGCTGGCCATTGGTCATTTCGAGCAGCGTGGCGCGGCATGGCATGGCGTGGCATGGCGTGGCGTGGCGCGGCGTGGCGCGGGGGTAGCGAGGGCCTAACTGTTTGCCTCACGGTATGCAAATGAATGGGAAAGGAAGGTGGGGCAGGAGAAAGAGTAGGGGGTGATGGGGGAGAATGGTCGGTGTGCACAGAGCTTCGGCCAGGGCGCGTAGCGTGGCGTCCTGCGGCGGCGCCTCGCACTGGCGCCTGGCGCCCATAGGCCGAGGGGGGGCCTCGCCGCGGGGCAGGCGGCCCACCTGTGTTACGAGCACCCCGCACGGAACCACGACCCAGAAAGCCTGGCGCCCGCCGGGATCGCGCAGCACAATAGCTATGGCACACGGGGGTTGTGTGTTCGAGAAAAAAATATAACATGAAGGATTTCCTTCAGGAAAAAATTGTATGTGTTTCGAAAGCTTCAGGGCTTTATCAGAAGCTGAAAGTGACGTCTAAATCATCGATTTTAAAAAGTACACAATGACACGTGTAAGACAGAGTCCAGACACCATGCCCTAGTTAGGAAAGCTGACAGATATATACATAGAAAAGTTTCAACGAAACAGTAGGACAAACTTGAACATTTAAATTTTTAATTTTCAAA